GTCTCTCCTTCTCTCTGCCTCTCCCCCACTTGTGCTTCCTTTCTCTCAAAATAAATAAATAAACATTATAAAAAAGAGTGTTGCAATAGAGAAGATTGAACTGAGCTCCAAATATAGCCAAGGTAGCTATGGATCTATATCCAATGAGCAGGGGGAGCAGTGGATGCAAAATTACTATAAGAGAAACTTGATTGGATTTCAAGGGTGGGGGGAGTCTTGCTAAACTAGCTTACCAGGATTTTTGCTAAAGGCAGACCAGATATAAAGGGTGAAGCATGAGGAACTTGATCAGATATAGGGTTGGGGGGTCTGCATAAACTGATGGAGCAGGATTCTTTGCTAAAACTGAGCTCATCAGGCCTAGTTGAGAAGAGGACTCAGAGGAGTCTGAGTCAAGAAGGAAGCCTTTGGGAGCGCCTGGGTGGCTTAGTCGGTTAAGCGTCCGACTTTCGCTTAGGTCATGATCTCGCGGTTCGTGGGTTCGGGCCCCGCGTCGGGCTCTGTGCTGACTGCCAGCTCAGAGCCTGGAGCCTGTTTCAGAGTCTGTATCTCCCTCTCTCTCTGACCCTCCCCTGCTCACGCTGTCTCTCTCTCTCTCTCCTAGAAATAAATAAAAATATTAAAAAAAAAAAAAAAAGAAGGAAGCCTTTGTCAGCGCATAAAGGAGATGAAGTTGGTTCACTGGTACCACAACCTTATGTATGGATATTTGGGGGGCATAAAAGATAGATGCTGGCCATGTAGAAGAGCTTTGGAGAAGTAACTTCTTTCTGTAAATATCTGTAAAAAAGGTCCCGAAGAATTAAGGGGGATTGAACAATAATACAAAGATACAGTTTAGCATATATATATGAAGGAGTTTAGCATATATATATGAAAGCAAGAGTCACAGTCAGACTAAAATGAAAAGTGTGTGTTGGAGAGTGGTGGAAATAGAGCTGGATAAGTATGCAGAGATAGATTAGAGAGAGCCCGGATAATTTACTCCATGCTTAGTAAGTTAGGAGAATTGTAATTAGAGCCTGGAAGGTGTATTCTTCGGTTAACATGAGGAAGTTGTAGAGGGGAGCTGATGTGGAGAAGAGATATATTTACTTTAAGACATGTTGAGTATGAGGCGATGACATAATCCATAAATAGAAGTCCTGACATAATATCAGTCTGGGAAGAGAATAAGAATTCATGGCTAGTGATGAAAATTCAGGACTTGGTAAAGTGTATTGATCACTAAATTCTGATCTTGTTGACCATTACACACAGCTTGTGTTTTTCTAGTGCTGTTCAGTAATAAGAACTATCCTTAAGAGAGCACCATCACGTGCTAAATGCTTTGATTTTTCGTTGTTGTTATTGACAATCTCCATTTTATAAATGAAGAAATTGACCCTTGGAGTTATTAAAAAGCCCCAGCCAGGGCTAAATGGATAGTAGACGTGGAATTGGAATTCAAAGCAAAGTCTGGGATGATGGGAGCCAGAGCTCACTCTTTTCATGATATCATGTTGCCTTCCTCAGTGCCCTCCCCCACCTGAAATCATCTCTCTTATTATACATCTAAATCTCACTTGATATTTAAAGTTCACGTCACATGAAACTGCCTTGAGAATTTGACGCAATCCCATTCCTGAACTCTCATGTGTAACTTTCCGTACACATTCATGGCACTTATTAGTTCCTACCCAGTCCTGCAGTTACATATGTGCCTTCCTTAACTCCCTTCAGGTCCTTGAGGCCAGATGCCAGGAATGATTTGTCTATTTTTCTTGCTAACATCACACCCAGCCCAGTGCTGTGGATGTTGTGGACATTTAATATTTTATGGGTGAATAAATGAATGATTGAAGGAATGACAACTACATCCATGAGAATTACAGAATAGGTTGAGAAAGAGAGTGAGAAAACAATGGACTGGGATGACAATTTCCTGCCAATATCTTGCAATAGATTTTGGTGGAGTTACTGAAAGAGCAAGAAAGAAAGAAACAAAAGAAAGGAAAGGAAAGGAGAAGAAAAGAAAGAAAAGGAAGGGAGGGGAAGGGAAGGGAAAGAAGGGAAGGGCAGTGAAGAGAAGACACTTTCAGACACTTTCAGGGATGGTGTGACAAGAGGAGAGAGATGAATAAATTAAAGACAGGAAAAATGGTAGGAGGGAAAATTGACCGTGGAGTGCTGCAGCTCTTAGCCTTCATTCCCCTTTCTCTTTTCAACCTGCTCCAATGTGTGTCAAGAATGAGTGCAGGTATCAGTGAAGCCACCTTACAATACCCATCTCCCCATTCTTCAGGATTGGGGAAAGGACTTTTTGTGGGAGGATTGAAGAAGCCAAGGCAGGAGACCCTCCTGAAGAGAATGTAAGTGGGATCCATCAGTAGGAGTCCTGGAGGAAAGATCCATGTGAGCTGACTAGAGCTATTTTCCACTGTGAGCCTTCAGGAAAGTGGGAGGGGAGTTTCTTTTCTTTTTTTTTTTTATGCTTCTATTTATTTTTCAGAGAGAGAGAGAGATCACTAGTGGGAGAAGAGCAGAAAGAGAAAGAGGGAGACACAGAATAGAAAGGAGGCTCTAGGTTCTGAGCTGTCAGCACAGAGCCTGATGCAGGGCTCGAACCCACGAGCTGTGAGATCATGACCCGAGCTAAAGTTGGCCACTTAACCGACTGAGCCACTCAGGCGCCCCAGGAGGGGAGTTTCTGTGTTATGTGGCCCAATTCATCAGAGTCGGGAAACATCAGAAAAGAGCATCGTCCATGTCTCTCAGCCCAGACATGAGTGAAAACCACAGTTCATTTAATATTTAGATTCTTAGGATAGAGGTAATTTATTTAAGGTTGGATTGTAGGAGATAATTCAGAGATTTCCTCTGGGATCAGTATACAGATTCCTAGCAGAGAACGCAGCTGGGGAAATAGAAAGGACATGTGATCTGGAATCTGAACATGAATTCAAGTCTTGACTCTAGGCTATGTCCTTTGGTAAGTCACTTAATTTTTTTGAGTCTCCATTCCCCAGTTGTCATAAGGGATTGAAAGAAGCCCTATTGTTTATTACTTTATTCACTCAAGATGGAGTCATTAGGTGTATACTATATGTTAGGCACTGGATTTCTTGGAGCTAAGACCACTCTGAAGAAATACTCGAGATGTGCGTGAAAACCCTCTGCAAAACGCAAAGCTCTATGCAAACCCCAGTTAACAGTTACAACCAAGATGGCTGTTGTGCTATGTCCCAGCCTTACAAATAAAGATATTTCACATTGGACCTGGCATCTCCTTCCAAAAACCGCCATTGGTTGTGATGGTTTATTTAACCCTTCCTAAATGTTTTCTTCTTCAACTCACACCAGAGGTGCAGAGGCTGATTATTTGATTTATAACTCAAATATTATGTCCTGGGGAAAATATTGACCCAGAAATGATCTTAATAATAAAGAAAACTCACAAAAGTAGAAATACAAAATGCAGGCACATTTAAAGTGAGCCAAGTGCAATATATTCTTTTAACTTTAAAATGATGACTCCTGTGGTGATTGCCCAAGTTATAATGAATTCAACAAGCTCATTCTTGTGTGATTTCTACAGCCAAATTCATATTTCAATAGTAAAAGAGATCCGTTCTGGTAAACCAAATTTGCTGGATGGACATGATGCAAGTGGTAACCTATCTTGACTAAAACAGGTTTTCAAGGTACCGAAAATGTGAGCAATTGAAATTCCTGGTAGAAAAGCACAGCACCTACCATGCAACATATTTACATAAGTTCCTTGTAATAATCTGGGGCAGGTGAAAATTTATGGGAAGCTCCTACAGTCACAAAATCTAATAGGAACAATCATCTGTTTTGGCATTTAAAATGCCACTGTAATAATTACAGCTAAGTTAACAGTGAGAAATTTTTTTTAACAAAAAATTAAATTAAAAAATGTTCATTTTTGGGAGAGAGACAGCACGAGAGGGGGAGGGGCAGAGAGAGAGGGAGACACAAAATTGAAAGCAGGCTCCAGGCTCCAAACTGTCAGCACAGAGCCTGACGTGGGGCCACATCGAACCCACAAGCTGTGAGATCTTGACCTGAGCCCAAGTTGGAAGCTTAACCAACTGAGCCACCCAGGCACCCCAACACTGAGAAAAATTTGAATGTAACATTAAATTTAACACTTCCTATTCATTAGGGGTGCCCAGATAGCCCAGTCATCTGAGTGTCCAACTCTTGATTTGGGCTCAGGTCATGATCCCAGGTTCATGGAATAGAGCCCTGCCTGGAGTTCTGCATAGAGTGTGGAGTCCGCTTAGGATTCTCTTTCTCTCTCCCTGTACCCCTTTCCCCAACTCACCCTCTTCTCTCTCTCTCTCTAAAAAATAAAAAGCAAACAAAACTTTCTATTCATCAGATATACCAGACCTAAATATGTTATCTTAGTGGAGACATCATAAATATCATCATCGTCTTGGTACTTGACTGGTCCTCTCTAGCCTAATCATTGGAACACAGATTGAAGCACTATAGTCCTAAAGAGATTGGTAGCACATTCCATTTACTGGAAAAATCTTAAATGGCAGAATGACATAAAGGTAAATGTTATGCTATTAAAAATAATTATCTTTACAGAGCTTGTAAATAGCAATATGAAGTAGCAAAAAATAAAACAGAATATTAAACCTCGGTGTTTATACAGATTTAATTTTTTTTTACAGATTTAATTTTCTCCCTTGCCACTAAATTACAAGGTAATTTGATTTGAGATAGAACGCAGTCTGTCCTGAAAGGTGGTGTAACTGACTGCAGTTTCAGAGATGTTTGATTCACTTAGAGGTTATGCAAATAATCAGACACCACCACCACCACCCCTCCCCCCCGCCTTGTTGGAATCCTACATAGGTCCCTAGTAACCTTGGAGATTGGTATAATTCTGTTCGCAGCAATGGGGCCTTTCCTGAATTGAGATTCTTTTTTGTTGTTTTAAGTACTTTTACATACACGATTATGCCCACAGGTAACAGGAAACCAGTGTTTCAAAAGAAAACTTGATCACATTGCTAGATAATGAAGGAATCCTAAATAAGTGTGTGAGCGCCTCAAGGGCTTTACCTATAGCTCCTGCCAAAAGTACATATTTTTTTGATTGGTAAGAACGGCAGGTGACGCTTCATGAAATATAAATGCAAGAAAGACTCTCGGCAGAGCTCCATAAAAACCTTCTACCAGTCAGTCTGGAAGGATAAGAAAGATACTGTTAACAACAGCTGGAAATGGCTTTCGGAGTGTCAGTATCAGTCTATCTCTTATTCAAAGGTAGGTGGTTTGTTTTTGTCTTGTTAATTTTGTATCAGTGTAGAATATGAATAGGATTTGTTCTCTCTGTTCCAGTGAGAAGTTGGCTTTTAACAGTCGTTCTTCACGACAAAGAACAGAGCAAGGAATCTGTGAATTAATTGAGTTTTATTATGTAATACAGACTCGGCTCCTAACAGATTATGATACCCTCTTTTTTGAGACCTGTGTGTTTGCTTTCTACAACTGAGGAGTGGTTGATACATTTTAACCACTTTGCCATAGCATCCTTGTGATTGAATTAGTATATAAATGAATCCACGTGCTCTTAAAAATGACTGTATTTCTATTTTCTGTGATTATAAGGTAGTCAGGGGAATAGGTATGAATGAGAAACTGTCAGGAAGCTGTCCTAATCAGGTTATGGTTTTCAAATGTAAGTGAATTAAGAATAGAACAGAAGTGAGAATAAGCAGAGTAAGAGTACCTTTTGATCTGTTGCTTGTACATAACCTTCTATCTGTTGCTTGCACATAGAAGGAGGCTCACCTGCTAAACGTGCCTTCCCCTCAAACCCCCACCCCTTCATATAGCAATGACAGCCTTGACTGAAGAAGCAGCGGTGATGGGAACACCTTCAAACACAACCCAGCAGAGTAACTGGACAGTTAACAAAACAGAAGGTATTTTCTTCACACTGTTGTATTTTAAGTGATTTCTTTTTTTTACCTTTTGAGAGAACTTTGGATTGTGATAAAAAGCAACATTGGAAATTTTTTAATGGGTATTTCATTATTAGGCAATCAACTCTTTTTAGCAGGATGCTATTAAATAGACGTGACAGGTAAATATGCCAGCAAAGACATACCTTTTAAATATTGCCTTCTGGTTGACTCCAGGTTGGTTCCTAATAACCCATTTGTGTTCTGAGGCAGTTAGTCCCCATTTGGGCATTTTTGATGACTGATATTTTAATACCATATTTTAATCTATGACTATGACTTTGCAGGCAAAGAAATTAGGATAAGGTGAAGCCTCAATCCATCTTTGGAAAGATCTTTTTTCTTGTTTTGCTTTGGGGGCGCTTTTGTTGTCATTTTAACAAATGCTCCATTTCCTAACCATGTGTACCCAACTTTTATTGTTGATGGTGATGGTATATTTTCTTTCCTATATTATTACTCTTATTATTATTAGAATAGCTTCTAGCTGCTGTTATTTGAACTCTCAGAGGTGAACTTGGAAAGTTTGTTACCTGCCAAGACCTATGTACCAGGTGGTTATGATTCTCACCCAAATCACCACCCCCTCTTGTGAAGATTGGTGATGCGACAGGACAGAGGAAACACCATAGCTTATGCTCAGAGCCAGGCAAAGAAAAGAAGATCATGTCAAATGCTTTGTTTCTGAATACGAAAGATAGCAATATTTTACCAATAATTTTAAATTAAAAAATTCACTTAAAATAGTTTGCCAATTTTTAAAAATATCTATCCATTTTCAAAACAAAATCCGTGTAAGGTTTAGAATAATTTTTAGCCAACTTCTTCATGTCTTCTGAGCCATGAGGAAAGATCTTCACTGGAAGATAATGCTGTAGAAAATCCAAGTGGAGCTTTTTCCGAGTGTCTGAGTTCAGAGCAATAAGCCCAGCACCACCTTCTTACTTCCTTAGGAGTGAAATTCAAGTAAAGTTTTCCAAGTTACAGATGGTAATAAAGGAAACCAGGGCGTCAAATATATCATCTCTACAGTTGTCCTTTGCTTTCTTGTTGGAGAACTTCTGTTTTTCCATTTTTTTAATTAATTTAAAAATCTGCACCCAGGATCTTAGGAAATTTTTCATCAACTTGAAACCAATATTCTTCTTTTGGGGGGAAAGAGAAGTCTCTCTGGCATATTCTTTGGAGGTATCTTCTTTCAGTTCTCACATTTCCTAGGAAATCCTGGTGCAGGAGCGGCTAATTCAACTAATTTAGTCTTGAAGCAGGAAGAACCTAGCCCAGTTTATAGTGGGAAATTCTCACTGGCTGAGAGTTAGTTGTTAAAATGAGACACTTGATTCACAACACCACATTTACCAAGATTACGGAGAATTTTAAGGTAATATTGTGTGTTCTTAATCAAAATGAAGTTATATGACACAGTATCTTATTGGTGACTTAGTACCTAAGATTTAGTATTTCAATATAAAAAATATTCCTTTTTAGATTTTTTTTCCCCCTTAAAACAAATAGGAAGGATTCTGTTAATCTACTTAGCAAGGCAAATATGGTATGGTATATATAACATGATGACTAAGGATGAGGAGATATGTTTATTCATAATAATGACAAAATAAAACACCACTGATGCTGCTTGGGACAAATTTAAAAATCAGTCATTAAATTTTTTACCAAAACAGGGCCCAATTATACAGCTTTACACAAGTGTATCCCCACTGAATATACCCCAAGGATGGCATAGGTATATGTCTTCTGTACATCAGGGAATGAGGAGGAAACATCCTGAAGTGTATTCTTTTTACTGAAACCCAGCTTCCCATAAGGAAGCTTCCCATACAGAGGCTTCTGGACACTTGACCACAAGAGTTTTACCAGATGTGGTCATTTGCATAGTGTTAGAAGTCAAAACCCAGATTTTCTCATTCTGTGTCCAGGGCTTTTCCCACTATCTCGAAATGTCTCATTAACTGAGTAAAATTTCCAATTAACATTCAAAGGTGTTGTCTCAACTCTGTGAAAATTAACCCATAACTTGTTTCTGGTTCTTGTATAGGTCATAACAACGCCTCTTTTGTAATGAGGCACAGTGCTCCCTTTTCAATTACCTTCTCAGTGGTAGCCCACAAAAGAGGAAACGGGGAAGTCTCATCTTGTTTGGAGAGTTCATTATCCCTATAAATCCAAGTTTCCTAAGTGCTGACTCTCAGGTGTAAAGGGGAGAATAAAAAATTGGGTGCAATCTTCGACATTTATTAGTATTTGGGGAGACTTGCTCAACACAGCCTGCTAAAATGAGAATCAATGCTGCCACCTTTTGGCAAACTTGTATCTATACCTTATTATGCAGCTTCTAGAGAATAGAAGTTATCAATCCACCTCCATCCCCTAGTGAATTAGTGATGTATCTAAATGATATTAACCTAAACTTTGTGAAAATAACCTGCTGATGGAATCAGCCAATATTTTAAATGACAGAGAACCTAACGAATATTCTTCGAAATAAAGGTCTCTTTACACGTGTGTAACAAATCTACTATAAAAGGGCGACCTACTTCATCTGTTAATATTGTATGTCCTTTTCCTAGCTGACTACACAGAAGGGCCCATAGCCTTGAAGTTCTCACATCCTTGCCTGGAAGACCACAATAGTTACTGCATCAATGGTGTTTGTGCCTTCCATCATGAGCTGGAGAAAGCCATCTGCAGGTAATTGCAAAGAACTTCCCAAGTCCTAGATCTGGGAGGAGATACATTTATGTTTCACATAATGTTTCTGTGTGTTTCACCTAGTACATTTCCACACACCTCGCTCTTATCTGGTAAAAAGGGTACATCATCTGAACATGACTCACTATATTTGAATATCTAAGGAGTCTTTTTCTAAACTACCTAACCCTCATTACTCAAAAATATAGCTCCCACATTAGCAGCTTCTATGTAACCTGGGAGCTTGTTAGAAATGCAGAAGCTTATGCTTCACCTCAAGTCTACTGAATCCAAATGTGCGTTTTAGCAACTGTAGAGAGGATTCTGAGTTTTCACAGGGTTCATTACAGGATGAGATGAAATAGACTATAGCGAAAACACTTTAGGAATATAAAATTCTAGAGCAATTCAGTACTATTTTTATGATCATTGGTTTGCTGGGTGATTAATTTCCTACGAAAGAGTATGTTAATAATTTTCTAGATCGACTCATGCAAGCAGACTACCTTTCCCTTCTACCAATGAGAGAAGTGTATTCACATTAATACAGAGCCTTAATGAATTGATTATTGTAAAGTATATAGCTTCTTCAATACATTTAATAGTTGGCTTTCATTTGAATTTTCCTCCTTAAATGACTTATTTTCTATTGAAATTTTTCATTCTTTGAAATTGACCATTTCTTTGAATTTCTATCACTGTGAGTTTTAAAATTATATATTCTTTTCTTTTTTAAAAGGTGTTTTACTGGTTATACTGGAGAAAGGTGTGAGCACTTGACCTTAACTTCATATGCTGTGGATTCTTATGAAAAATACATTGCAATTGGGATTGGTGTTGGATTATTATTAAGTGGTTTTCTTGCTATTTTTTACTGCTACATAAGAAAGAGGTATGAGAAAAAAGCAAAATATGAAATCACTGGGCACTTGGTCACTTAATGAATATTTATTGAGCCCCTGCAATGTACCAAGCACTGACAAGTATAATTTTTTAGTGAAAAATGGCTGCAAATCTGGCAACTTCCTACGTAGATTTGTTTTGATGCTTTTTCTTATAAACACAGACAAGCAGTAAAGATCTACCTGCAATTGTAATAGAATAGCCCCAATTTATAATCTCCCAATTTATAATAGCTCCCAATTTATAATACTTGTCTCTGTCTGCATACATCAAAGTTTTAGGGAGGACAGTAAGCCCTACAAGAGTAGAGATTAAGTGTATCTTGTTCACAGTTATGTACCAGCGCTAAATACCATGCCTGGCACACAGTAGACACCCAGAAAATTTCTGTTGGGTGAACAATTCTAGAAATGAGTATTAAATGAATGAAAATGTATGATAAACATGGGCCACGTTCTTTTCAGACATCAGCTGAGGGTTTATTCAGGAGATTCTGTCTACTGCTAAAAACCTAAGAAAAGAAGCTGGATACACAAGTTACTTTTGTGTTCTTATTTCTATTTTATCCACACTGATGATTTTTTTCTGAAATCCATGTAACTAGGAGAACATCAAGAGATAATATGAGATGCATTAAAGAAAATGTGTAAATACATTTCCTTTGCAGTAGCCTACTAAGTTGTCATTTTTAAAATGACCAAGACTGACTGCACAAAATAATAAAAAGTTTGTTTGCTTAATAACTGCATCTTAGAGTAACATCTGTTATGTCAATTGTAGATTAATTGATATAAAATCTCTTATATCAGTTGCCTAAGAGACCAAGAAAGGCAAAAAAGAAAAAAATTAAGTAAGCCTTTTAATGTTAACAAGATGGCAGTCTGAGGTCAAGTTCCTTAGAAGCAAAACCTAAGATGGGAATTCTTGTGCAAGTCGTTGGCAGAGGGAATTCCCTAAGGTGATCCCTGTAATGGAGTACAGAAAACTAGAACAGAGAAGAAAGTGAGCAGAGATGTGGCTTTAGGTGAAGTCTGGCTTTAGCTGGATTTCACAGGGAGATCTAGGGTATGAATGGCATGGTAGACATTTCCCAAGAAGGTGAGGGATCTTGGTTTTAGTGCCGTGTGTCATCAAGCATGGGTGGCAGGATGCTCCTGGTGGGAAAGGAAGTAAGAGCTTGGAATCTCCCAGGAATCTTCAGGCTAGGTGCTCTGTTGGTCAAGGGCTACCCTCTGGAGAAGGATTTGGCTGTGAGCCAGTTAACAGGCATAGCCATTGGGGGATGGTCACACTGGTGGGGAAAGGGGACTTGGGCGGAGAACCAAGAGCAACTGTTATACCAGAGCATATATATCATTCTCAATAAACCGTGCAAAAGGCCGTCAAACTCACACAGAAACCAATGTTCTATTTTAGGTGTCTAAAACTGAAATCACCTTACAAAGTCTGTTCCAGAGGAAGACCACTGTAGGGCCCTTGTGAAAAATTTCCGTGAGGCATTTATAAAACTCAGTGGGCCCCAAATCAAAATCTTCCAATGAAACAACAAAACTTCCCAAGCTGACTGGACTTGAAAATAATGGAAGTTGGGATCGTGATGAAACAAGAGAGTAAATTTCAACAATGGTCTTCAGACTTTGCCGTCGTTAGGGTGCCATGGGAGCCGAGTGAACGAGCCACTGTGACCGAAGCCAAGTTCACAGTTCTACTCTGGGTGTGCTGCTGTTGTTGTGTGGTTATTGTTCTAACGGCAGAAAGACTGAGCTTCATGCTTCTGACCATGTCAGATGTGAATTCTCATAGGAATAATTACCAACCTTGCAGCAAGCCAAAGCAATGCCAAGCTTGGGTTCTTCATGTCCTTGCTGCCACCAGTATTTTAGACCGGTGCTCTAGGGACCCAGTTCCAAACATGCCCTTTCACAGTGTCTAAGGGGACGTGATGTCGATGGCCAGGACAAGGTCAGTGTTATGACACTTCCAGTGACGCAGGCATGGGCCTGAAGTCTACACCAGGGATAAGAAAATGGAATATCCAATGCAAACATAAATCATGCCCAGCTCATGACAACACTACGTAGCCTTTCTCTGTGAAATATGGAATAAGCTAAAGCGTTTTTGCTGACTAAAAGCTATCTGGATATTGAGCCCTGAGTAGGTGGAACATTTCTGTTTCTGCATGGATTATAAAGCTTTGTGTTGGAGTCAATGGTCCCCTAATGTTTATGTTCATCACCTCTTCCTGTTGTTAGTGGAATTACCTGGTGACTATCCATTTAGACTGAAATTCTAGAGTTCTACTAATTAATAATTACCATTGGCACTGAAATAGAAACTGAAGAATTGGACGGAATTGTTTCACCAACAGCACGTGGAAACTTTCTCTGCCATTTCTGAATACTTGATAGCAGATTTGCACTTAGCAAGAGAAAATGGAACAATGACAGAAATGCTTATAGGGGAATTAGGGTCGCTTCCTCTTTAATTATACTTCTTCCACATAAGTCGAATTATCTTACACAGGTCCTTTAATTTCTTCGGGTTTTGGCTTTATTTTCTCCAAGGCCCTGATAGTTTTTAAAGTTTGACAGTGGGTCAAGAGAAATTTTTCCATATTTGTTCTGCAAGTGAAATTACTTTCAACACCACCTCTGTCCCCCATGCCACATCTAACCCCAAAACACACCACCAGATATCATCTTAGTTGCCTGTTTTAGTGTTTGGTTTGCACTAAAATCATGTAAAATTTTGTTTTTAAAGGAAGTGAAACATGGAATTAAAGAATAATAATATTTACCAGTGTTCTCTTGGATTCAGTCTAAAACTATGGACTTTTCCCCCCTCCATCATGATGTAGATAAGTGAAACAATACTGATCACAAAGGTTAAAGGAGGATCAAAGACGAATGTTTTTACAACGGTAACAAGACATTCTCTTCTATAATGACTTTTCATTCGCTCCTAAACAAAACTTTACATGATGCTTTCCTTTGAGAAGAAGGCACTTCGCCAGCTTTGTTTTTCCTTCATAAGGAATTTAATGTGGATGAATTACGCATCAGCATTTTCTGCTTGTCCTTACAAAGTATGCAAAGGTTACATCATACCAAAAAGTGGGGAGGTGAAGTTTCCTCCCAGTGACTCCAGCGACCGCACCTAGAAAGCTATGTTCTTCCTGAGCATTTCAAAAAGGTGTTAAAAAGCTGGGGAGAGTCCAGGAAGAAACAACAAACCCTAGTTAAGGACTGCCTCTTGATGAAAGGAAAGAGGAATTAATGCTGGAGTCGGGAGAGGTGATCACCTAAAAAGTTATAAATATCTGCTGCCTGTAAGTATTTCTAAATTGTAAACACAATATAATTGAAATTAAAAAATGCCAGACAGAGAATTAAAATGTCCAGATTGCCAAACCCAAACAGAAACCAAGAGGGATTCTGAGTTTTTCAGTGTGGAGGTGTGCATTAACGGTATAAAATCTCCCCAGTGCGGCTGTTCAGACACTTAGAGTGTGGCTTATGAAACGCCATCTGTTTGTGGTCTGTCATACAAAGTAATCTTCTGGTCCCCTGAAGCCTAGAATTCATTTCTCAGGGAGGAATCTCTGGCATTCCCAGGGCAAAATTTACACATGTAAGTAGGACTTATGTGAGACAATGCATATAAATACAAGATGTTCAGCAAACTTTTTCATCTTCTGGTTTTTTTCCTGTATGCAAGAAGACCCTGAGAAAAGCCTGCCAGGGAAGTCCTTGCATCATGACTACATTTTCAGCTATTAGTCATGAATTAGTAGGTGGGGTGGGTCATGTAAGAAAGAAATGAAAACATGTTTCTGGAACCTTTGACTAAAGCAAACAGGATAAGGGGTTCATCAATTTCATTCATTTCCCATTTTGTCTTCTTCAGGTATCTATCCTTCAGTCTTTGAGAACACATTCGTTAAGTCATCAGTATTCATAAGTGCTTCATTAATTTGCATTTGGGGGCACCTGGATGGCTCATTCAGTTGAGCGTCTGACTTTGGCTCAGGTCATGATCGTACGGTTTGTGAGTTCAAGCCCTATATCAGACTCTGTGCTGACAGCTCAGAGCCTGGAGCCTGCTTCGGATCCTGTGTCTCCCTCTCTCTCTACCCCTCCCCGGCTCATGCTTTCTTTCTCTCTCTCTCTCTCTCACAAAGAAAAAAGAAAAAAATTTTAATTAACATTTGGAGCATGATAGGGTGGGAGCAAACACTATAATTTCAAACATATGTGAGCCAGTAAACTCACAGAAAAGAATAATTATTTGTTATTGTATCTTCTTTTTCCAAATTACTTAAAAAAAAAATACTCTCTATACCCAACGTGGGGCTTGAACTCCCGACCCGGAGATCAAGAGTCCCATGCTCTACTGTCTTAGCCAGCCAGGTGCCCCATCCCAAATTACTTTTTGTATATTTTGTTTTTATAATGCCTGAAGTAGATGAAATTATAACATAGATTATCTTTTAGGGTTTCTGGGCACAATACAAATCTAATCCTTTACTTCTGAAATGTCCATTTTCATGACATCAAGAAGATTTCCATTCATTATGTATAATTGAAAAAATGTCTTAAGAAAATAACAAGGCAAACATCAGCAGTTTAAGCTTTTGATGTTGGCCATAAGGACAGTTTTTTCTCTGCAGAAGACCATGAGTAAGCCACCTAACTTCTGGCATTGCAAAATGTAACACACTCTCTGTAGTGTGATGTAAATATTGATATCCTGCAACCCACATTCATGGGAAGGGTTACCAGAATCTCTCTGTTGCAAAACACCACTCTTTACGGCTTACATCATGACTGCATGACATCAGGTTACTAGCATCTGCCAAGATGAACCGGAGGTGTTGAAATTTAATTTGTCAGAGTCTAGCACTGCTAATCTGGGTGAGTCCACATTTCTGTCCAAGCCTTGGCGCGGCCCTATTCAGTAGCATGTTCAGAAGCAGATCTTCCAAACTCAGCTAAAAATTTCTGTTAATTATTTGAATCATGAACACCCAGTTCAGAGTACAAGAGCCTAAGCCATTCATCATCATCAGAATTCAAAGGCTAGCCGCCACCCCCACCCCCCACCCCCCCCACAACCTGGGAGAATATCCATGTGAGTAAATGAGTCCTACCGTTCCACTTCACTCCTCTGCCAAAACTAGACATGATGGATATTCCAGATCGTGGGCAACACCCACAAGCCTCCCAAGAAACATCCCATAAAGATTAGGAATGTGATTATATGGTAACAAGGGGAATTGCATTGTTTCATCAGGTCTTATCTCTAATATATCTCATGACCTTTCTTTATAATTTTTATGTCTCAGATATCATCGGAGCACCAATCACTTAATTGAAATTTGGTTAGGACCACAGTCAAGCAGGGAACAAACTAGCAGTGCCTTTGATCTTTCGGAAGACGGTAATTAGACTTTACATCTTTCTGGAAAGAATGGCATCTACAGATCTTTAAAATGGCATGAAAATATTGATTCAATATTAAGTCTCCACACAAATCAAGTTTAATGGTGTGATATAGCCACCACTCATGAGCACTTACGATGTTTGAAAAGCATTATTAGCATTTTTTAATTAATCCACACCTGTGTGTAATTGAGGCTCAGAGAAAAGGCTATTGCTTTTTCCATGTCACTTAGCCTTTCAGTGGCAGAGCCTAGAACTGAGCCAGGTAGATCTGATGCCCACCTCCCACATCTAAACTCCGTATGATAATGCTTCCCTATATGTTATAGAAAAGATTAATGTTAGTAGTTTGTTTCTTGATGAGCTTAGAGATAATACCCAAGTGGTTTGTATGCAAATGAAAAAAAAAAGCTCCTTTCTTTAGAATGTATGAAATAACAACCTTTGTCGTGGATCAACCACAAAAACTCCTTGCTGTCATCTGCTTATTAAGATATGCATTCCATCCTAAGGGTGGGGCCAGAACAGGCTTCATGTGCCCGCTGACAGATGAATGTACATGCCGGGGAGACAGTGTAAACTGCAAATAGACCCTGGTTTATCTTCAAGACTCAGGGGATGAAGAGGTTACTAGGAAACACTTGACTCCAGGCTATGAACAAGGGTTCTCTGGCACCGGTCCCCTAACTGGGGCACACCTGGCTTTGTTTGGTGAGGGGATGAGGAAATGAGTGGTTTTCCCATTATCAACTTCCTTCCCGCCATGTCACTCACACAATCCTACCCTGAGTCCCACAAATACTTTAAAGAAAGATGGCCAATGGCAGCGGTCCAGCGAGGGGCAAAAATTGGAAGCAACACTAAAAAACTCTACGCAGGGGACGGACACTTGAATGGCCTGTGATCTGGTCCAGCTGCATGCTTATCTAACTCTGTTGGGGCCCTCCGCACATGATATTCTTGCCTGTTAGACTCTAAGTGCGTGCCTGTTTGAAAGCTGCATGTGAAAAACACGCAGCCTCGACAGCAGATGCAGCCTGCAGATTCATTTCTTTGACCTTCGTGGTGTTTCTTTTAAAACAAGCTCACGTTTAGAAATCAAGAGATTTTACTATAAAAGGAATCTAGCTTTTAAAGCTTCTTTTGGAAAATAGAAAATCCAAGGCACTGGTGCTACACGCTTACATTGCTTGGGTTAGCAATGTGCTCTCCACACCCAGCCGGCTTCTGTCGCGGTGCTGAGCCTTCAGGGTTTCTATGGGCCTCTGCCGTCTCCAGCCTCGGTCCTTCGACTGGATTAACTGTAAGATCCTGCCTCATCTCAAGTCCTCTGAGTCTACCCAGCCGGTTGCCTGCAGAGGGCCTTGTTGTACCGCAAACTGAACAAGCCGTGAAGGAACTTGGCGAGGCCCGGTTGCCTAGGAATGTGCTCTTCAGGAGAACTCACACTCGTCTGGAAGGTCTGGAAGCCGGCAGGGGAGGTGTCTGATGACTCAGACGCTCTGTCCTGCCCACGCCCTCAGTCACTCTCTGCCACAGTCCACATCAGATTTGTTTCCTCAGAGCTCAACCCAGCTTATGTTCCCTCCCCGCTCAAAACCCAAACGGACTCCCGAGCGCGCCCCATGTTTAGCGAGGACTCGCCTCCCTCCCGGCAGTGGGAGTCCCTCCCTAGAGACACCCAGGGGGTCTCTCTTTCTCATCTCCCCTTCCAGGGCTCCCTACACAGAACCACTGGCTGCCCCTGCTCCCTGAGCCGACTCACAGTGCCTGTCGGTGTGAGGGTCTCCGCCGTTTGCTCCTCATGGATTACCCCCTCCATCTCTGTCTGCCCATTCGCAGATATCACGTGTTCCTCCTTTGAACTCCCTTGGATATTTACGCCCAGCCTCCCCCAACTTTTTAACCTCCACACCAACCGGTGTTTACATTTTACCTTGTTTTATAATGATTTTTGTTCCTGGCTAACTTCCAGTGGTAATAATAATAATTGACTCCATTCACTAAGTTCATACCGTAGACTGGGCACAGTGTTAAGTAATTTATGTACATCCTCTCTCTGAATCCTGAGAGACAGCAGCGAGGAGGAAGGTTTTATTGGGGGGTTGCGGTGAAGAGTCGTTCCGGTTAA